TCTTTCCTCCTCCAATTCCCAGAATCCCCCTCAGCTACCTGGACCTCTTGATTTCTCTCCTGTATTGCCTCTAATCTTTAGCACTTTGCCTGCCCTTACCTCTAGGCCTCCTCTGCCTATAGTGAGCCAGGGAAGTGGAATGCATGGAGCATTGTGAGGACCCCCCATTACGGCTAACCTTGGAGGCATGGTGCTACTTATGATATGGTGGAAGCTGCCATGTCCTAACCAGCCCCGGCTTATCTAAAATGCAGATCCATACTTCTTACTCCCTGTCCCTGGAGAGTGAGACTCTGGACATCGGTCCAGCCTTTCTTCCAAAACATCACCAAGAAATAAGTTGGCTCACTAAGCAGACATATTAACACTGAATGGAAAAGAACCAGGACAAGTATGTGGGCATCCCCAAAGGAGTCAGGACCAGCTTCCACCCCAGGACCAGTTGCATGATACGGCAAACTCATAAGATGGTGCTTATCGGATTCAGGATCCTCCGAATTTATACTAAGCCACTCATTTCAGATCATAGGTACCCAAAAACGAGGACTCACGCGAAGTCCCACAGTCCCCATGTTCTTGCATCGTCCTGCCTTACAGCTTGAGCACTGGGCCCAAGCCTTTCCATGCTGTCCTGGTTGCTCTCTGTTGCTGGGATAAACAACTGTGACCAGAATTAATTAACTCGAGGAAAGAAATGACTTATTTGGCTTACAAAATTACAGTTTATCAGCAAGGGAAGCCAGAGCAGGAACTCAGGGCAGGAACCTGAAGACAGGAACTGAAGCAGAAGCCATAGAGGAATACTGTTTACCAGCTTGCTCCCCCTGATTTTCTCAGTCTGCTTTCTCATATGACCCAGGATCACATGACCAGGGGGTGGCACTACCCACAGAAGCCTGGGCCCTCCCACATGAAATCATTCATTAATCAAGAAACTGACCCACACACATGCATACTGGACAATCTGGGGGAGAAAATTCCTCAATTAAGATTCCCTTCCCTGACGTGACTCTAGTTTGTATCAAGTTGATGAACAGATGCACACTGTATCTGCCATTTGGAGTCACAACTCAGGTTCCTTAAGACCCCTGGGGGAACACATGCCCTGAACAGAAGATAACAGATTCCCCATGCTTTGTTCAAAGAGGCCTCTACTACCAAAAACCTCCCATGGGACAGAGGTTACACTTTCTGGAAATTAGTATTCACCAAACCTATGTGGGGGCTGGAGAGATGGCTCAGAGTTAAGAACACTTGCTTGCTCTCCAAGAGGACCCTAGTTCACTTTCGAGCACCCCTGGCAGGCCATTCACAAATACCCATAACCCCAGGCCCAGAGGATTTGATGCCCTCGATGCCCTCTTCTGAATTCCATAGGCGCCTTCTCTCACAGATGTACAAACCACACACACACACACACACACACACACAAACACACAATCTAAAATAAATCTTTTTTAAAAAATGAAGTAATTTGTCTTGCTTCCCAGTGCTTATACGTGGCCAGGTGCCTCATTTTCAGACTCATTCAGCTTTTGTAAAGTCCCCAGAGGCAGTGACTCCAAATGCAGTGTGTTTGCTGCCTACAGATGCCCAGAGCACAGATCCACTGAAGATGAGGGAGAGGCTTAAAATAATCCTGTGCAAATTGCACTGTCCAAACAGAGGCAGAAACGGCTGAGGATTATCAGGTGCAGGGAAATGGCCACTTTGGCATCAAGATGGAGCCTTTGTTTCTGGGGAAATATTAGGAAACCTTGGAGATTTGGAGGTTGGTGTTGAGCACACACAATGAATTTTAGGTTTGTTGGTTTGTTTGCTTGTGTCTTTTTAGTTCTGGAGGGAGGCAGATTTTTAATATTTATTTTACCTGTAGGTGTGTTCACGGAGGCTGGTCGAGGGCATTGTATCCCTAGGAGCTGGCGTTACCGTCGTGAGCCACCTGATGTGGGTGTTAGTGTCTAAACTTGGGTCCTCTGATAGAGCAGTAAAAGGCCCTAACTGCCGAACCACTTCTAGCTCCATTCTTTTTTTTTTCCAGAAAGGATCTCACTATGTATCCCAAACTGGACCCAAACTTGGAACAATCCCCCCGCCTCAACCTCTCAAGTCCTGAGATTGCAGGGGTATACCACCATACCCAGTTTGCATCGTTACTGAATCAGTTTTCTCAGAGACAGTCAGAGCTAAGTCTGAGTGTATCCATATGTTTCCGACACAGCTCTTCCCTAGCCGTGAGGACAACCTCAGGCTGTGGACACCGGCAAGCAGCACCACGCTGGTGCCCAAAGCGTTCCCTTCTACATGTAATTGTCATTGTACTGGCTGATGTGGTCCTATCCTGGTCAGGTTTCATTGTCAACGTGACACAACCTAGAGTCACTCAATAGACGAGAATCTCACTTGAAGCATTGCCTCCCTCAGACTGGCCTATAAGCAAGCCTATTGGACATTTTCTAGATTAACGATTGATATGGGAGGGTCCAGCCCATGATGGGCAGTGCCACCCCTGGGCAGGCAGTCCTGGAGTGTATAAGAAAGTAAACTGAGCAAGCCATGGGGAGCAAGCCACTAAGCAGTGTTTCTCCATTGCTCTCCCTCAGTTCTTGTCTCTCTCTGGGAAGGCACAGGCAGCACCAATGGGAGCTATTGCTGCATTATATGTTACAATGCATAGAAAAACAAACGTGTATAATACTTGCATCGACGGTTGTCAGCATTCACCCGTCACTGTACACATTGCACCCCATGTGACTACAATGGCCCTAACCTGCCATAGATACAGGTACCCTCGTGTTTGCCCACACTAAGTTCTGTGACATTATCTGCTCCACATCCACACTCTAGTCTCTGCACACAGCTGTTACACACCCTCCTTTGGGATACATGGCACCCCCATCAATACATGCGGAAGCCCATCTCATCAGAGGACCCCAGCTGCACCACAACCCCCATCCAAACAATGGCAAAGTTCTCCATCAGTCCGGTACAGCTCCCTGAGACCTGAATAGGGCACTCTCAAAGCCTCAGCAAGGATGTCTAGAAAAATCCAGCATGCCTTGCAAATCTCCTAAGAAACATCAGACTGTGTCTATGTTTTTATTACTGTGTATAATAGTCTAATTATATTTTTAAATTGTTAACCCATGTATCAATATTTACGAACACTTCCTGTTAGCGGGTATATTTATTTGATTAATTAATGGGTGTCTCAATCATTATTCAGTCACCACGCAATCGCTGAGCACCAATTAAGTTTGAGACAGCAGGGTAGACACTTGGGAGATTAGAAAACAAATAGGTAATAAATAAAATTATGTGATCTCTGCCCTTGGATATAAACACAGATACAGCTTCAAAAACAAACGGTTGTAACTGGCAAGTGGCTCACTTGGTAAAGGCACCTGCTGTCAAGTGTATTGGCCTGAGTTCGATCCCCAGGACCCACGTGTTAGACAAAAAAAAAAAATTATTCCTCTGAGCTTTCCTCTGATCAACATGCATGTACACAAGAAGGAAAGAAAAAAGAAAGAGAGAGAGAGAAAAGGAGGGAGGGAGGAAGGAAGGAAGGGAGAGGAAGAGAGAAATGAAGAAAGAAAGAGAGAGAGAGAGAGAGAGAGAGAGAGAGAGAGAGAGAGAGACAGACCTTCTCTGGGGTCAGTCCTCAGCAATGAAGACAAAGGTTCAAGAAAGAAGGCAAACAACGAATGAGTCCAGTTCAATATGGACCCTAGGGGGACCCAAGGTACACACGCCTTTTTCTGCTTCTGTGCTCCCTCCATCTTTGAAGACCCACAAGCCTCTGCCAGGGCAGCACACGGGTCTCTCCATCTGAGTGTAGCTGTAGACTTCAGGCCTCTTAGGGACCCAAAGCCTGAAAACCCAAGTGATTGCTTTTCAACCCTTATGCCTCCAACCATGACTTGTGTTGAAATCTGGGTACTTTGGGACCTTGTTTAGGTGTGACTAACCTGCCTTTTTAGGGAAAAGAGGCCTGACAGAAATACCTTGGAACGTCACCAGCCACTTAATTTCCAACCTCCCTACTCCTGGTCCCAAGGATTAACTGATCAACTCTGGAACCTGTGTTGCACCTTCCACTACTCTGCCTCAACTTTGCCCACCCCACCCCCCACCCCCACTTTTTATAAGCAGTGATGTGAGTTATTGAAGACATTTCGGTATAGACTTTAAGCACAGGCTTAAAAAGAAAAAGAAGCACTCAAAAAGAAAGACACCCGTAAGCATGGATGTGGGCTTCTCAAGGAAGTCACATTTCGGGGGGGGGGTGCGTAGTGTTTGCTATGTAGCACAGGATGGCTTCAAACTTACAGCAATCCTCTTGCCTCAGCCTCTGGAGCACTGGAGTTACAGGCACACACCACCTCCAGTTTCTAAGGGTGGATTTCTAAAATACTTGTTTTGTAGTGTAAGCATCCCTGTGCATAAGGGTATATGCCTGGGAAAGGTCAGCGGGTTGAACTTGTATTTCCCAATGCATTTGACTGTAGCAACTTTTATTTATCTATTTGCTCATTTTTACAATAGCTGATTCTGAGAACTTGAAAGGAAGTGGTTATCTCTAAGGTCCTTTAACTGCCCACGCACCTGTGAGAGGGCAGGTACCCTACACACACAAGCAGAGCTGAGTCAGCCAGTCTGACCCCTCACTCTTCTCCTCAAGGGAGACCCAGATCCAACCCTTCAGCCTCCTCTCCCAAGGAGACCCAGCAGCCACTGGGATGACTCATGATCACAGACACTGAGAGGAGTCGGAGACTTCTCAACCTGTCAGACACTGGCTATCTGCCAGGCTCCAGGCTGGCTTCCACTGAGGCTGCATAAACTGTGTGGCCTGAGCCTTCTGCCTTAATGACCAGCCCAAGCTCAGAGCACTCCGGGGGTCTTACATCGCTGAGCAAGACTGGGGTCTGATCAGAACACGGAGAAGAACCACCATCAACCTTGTGTTCTCTCTCTCTCTCTCTCTCTCTCCTTAGCCTTGCTGCTTCCAAGGAGGCCGAAGCTGCCCGCTCTGCACCCAAGCCTATGTCACCCTCGGACTTCCTAGATAAGCTCATGGGGAGGACTTCTGGGTATGATGCCAGGATCAGGCCCAACTTTAAAGGTAGGAAAACATTCCTTTCAGAATCACAGGAAAAGTTCTCCCATGATACACACTTGCTGCGACACCTCCTTCGCACCCCACCCCACCCCCGCCCGCACTTCCTTCTCCACCCAAGGTAGACATTGCTAATCGATGCGATCTCTTTTCCCAACAAGCTCAGACAGAGCCTCCGAGAATTCAGCTCAAATAGTACCTCTGGTTTCTGGGAGTCAGTAAGTGAACGAAGGTCTGTTTTACTGTGTCTAATGTCACAGACAGTAAAACAAGGAAAGTGGGTCAAGTTTCGGCTGAAGCACGGGCTTCCTCTGTGAGCTGGGCCAAGCCCCTCCCTTCGTCTGGGCCTCAAGTTTCCCATTTCTGCATGGCCCACCCGGCTCTGTGTGCAGTCATTCCCATGACTCTTGGGGTGTTCGGTTTCCACCAGGAGTCCTGAGAAGAAGACACGGGTGAGGAGCAGGCCCATCTAGGCCTTGACCCAAGGAGCCCCCCTTCTGTTTGTTCTAGAAGAGGCCCTCCTACTCAAACCCACCTACAGAAGACTCCCACAGACTAACACAATTCTGCAGTTTCCTCGTGTAAATGAGACTCACCCACCCCTCTCCTCTTTGTTCGGTCTGGGATGGAAGCCCATGGCATGGGGTTGCCCACATTCAGGATGGGTCTTCCCAGACAAAGGTCAGATACCCCAGATAGAGACCATGGAGAAAAAGCTACAGGCTTCTGTGGATGAAGAAGGCTCCCCTTACCTCCAGTCTGTAGATCCCTTGTGGGAATGAGGGCCCCATTTGGCCAGATGAGCCAATGCTCCAAGAAGACTCAAACTGAACTCTACAAGAAATTCTTAATTCCTGGATCATGTAAATTCAAAGGAAACATTCAGGGTTCGTTGCTGCCAAATGCTGGTCCAGGCAGTTGGACAAAGTTCTCTGCATTTGTGGTCCCACTGGGACCTTAGTACCAATAACAAGAGGAGATCGGGGCTCTGTGTTCTCTGGTGCCTTTGAATGTTCTGTCTTGATCGACTTAAATCTTGCAGACATGGCTTTAAGAACCTCTTGAGTTCTTCCACACAGAACTTCCACACAGAACCCTGTAAAAATCTGATCCCAAGAACCAACAGCCATAGACTCTTTCTTCATTCCAGGTGTTTCTCCTCGTCACTCCTGTGGCTCAAGTCCAAGGGCAGAGACAGATTTGACAGCTGGGAGCAGCTATATACCGCCTGCCTGTATTGCTTGCACATGCGTCCATTCCATTCTCCACACTCCCCTCTCTGACTGCTTTGCCCACAGTCTCTGCAGACAGAAAGTAGCTTGGGTGTTGTACGTAATCCCCCCTTCCAGCCTTGTTTCCCCGCCTCTTCCTTCACTGGTCCACAACCGTCCTTCCATCATCATTAGCACAGCCTTGTTTCTTGGGGTTTCTGGTGCTGTGATTAAACACTAGAAGCAAAAACCTCTGGGGGAAGAGAAATTTGGTTTAGCTTATATTTGCACCTCACAGTCCATCACTGAGGGCAGTTGGGCAGGAACTCCAGGATGGAACCTGGAGACAGAAACTGATGCAGAGGCCGTGGAGGAGTGCTTCTTGCTGGCTTGCTCAGTTTGCTTTCTTATACACCCCAGGCCTACCTTCCTAAGGGTGGCATCATTCACAGTGAGCTGGGCCTACCTATACCAATGACTACTGAGGACAGTACACCACAGGCCAATCCGGTGGGGCATTTTCTCAATTGAGGTTACCAAACGTCTCTAGCTTGCGTCAAGTTGACATAAAACTAGCCAGCACACCTTGGTTCTCCTAGGACCAGGACACTTGGTAGTACAGCTGGCTGGAGTAGTTCCTCAAATTAAAATCTCAAAAGTCTGGAGGGGGCAACAGGCAGTTATACTGCAAGGGTGGAAAAGATGAAGAAAAATATAGAAAACTTAGAGGCTAGAGCGACGGTTCCGTGAGCTAAAAGTATCCACAGTTCAGATCTCTGACACCGATGTAAAAGCCAGGCATGGCCACACAATGACTGTAACACTAACGCTGCAACAGCAGACACAGGCAGATCGCTGGCCTCCAGGCACCCAGTTGAGATCTGGGTTCCATGAGAGACCCTGTCTCCAAAGATAAGGTTTAGAGCAACAGTCAGAGACACCCAACCTCCTCCTCCCCCTTCTCTCTTCTCTTTATCCAAATAAATAAATAAGTAAAATATAGAAAACCCGAGTCCCTTGTAAGCTCCACTCCTCCTCAGTTCCTGCCCAGGGCATCCAGGAAGGAGTGAAAACTGCATCGTTAGTCAGGTCCTCCAAGACAGACTTAAGTCTGAGGTTCTATGTCAAAAATTTCCGAAACTGATACTAAATAACATCTTGAGAATAGCATTGGCTAAGCCAAACCCATTCCGGCAGAGGACAGTAGGGACCTTAGTCACCAGGCTGCACCAATTGCCCTAGTTAGCCGGGTTTTTTTTTTTTTTTTTTTTAGAAATTTAGTCCACACGCCCTCTGGTGGACTCTTTTGGAACTTCACTATATCACGGTCCAAGTTTTTCTTTTTATTTATACTGTACAGATGCTCCAAAGAGTTATCTCCAAGGTTCAAGGGTTATTCTTTGTGCATGCCACCGTACTTCACACACAGAAAGCCCTCAATAAGCTTGTGTAGCCCAATCAAAAAGTCAAGATCCTCCTGCCTCAGCCTCTTGAGTGCTGAGATTAGAGCATGCGCACCTCTGTGCCCCTGTGAAAATCTTACTTAGAACACTGGAGTCCCATATCTACAGGACCACATAATCTCTTAGACGTCTTCCTACTCCCAAACGGCTCCCCCTTCAGCCTATGCCTGGCTAGAAGCCAGGTCACCTCCCGTGCAGCTCCCAGACGGGAGCTAGGAGTAGGACTTTGCTCCTCCCCCTTAAGACGAAAGCAGTACCGGAAGCCTACTATACCAGGCCTCTCCTTATCCCGCTTCAGACTCATATAAGACTCCCCAAAGGCCAGGAAAACCCCAGGATTCCTAATGCGACCATGCAGCTCAGACTCCAAAGGCTCCCTACACACGCACTCACACACACACACACACGCACGCACACAGTTTGAAATCTCAGCAGTTATCCCTCAGTAGCTTACCTGTACAACATGAGCAACCCGCTTCTGGCCAGCCTGAAGTCCGAGGTGGCCAAGAACTACAGACACTTGGTCTGCGGAGCACAAAGTCGATTCATACTCTAATACGGAAGTAGCACTAAGACTACTCATTAAGCCTACATTTCCCTCCTACCTCTTCGCCCCTCCTCCCCGCGAGAGATTCTTTCCTGGACCTAAGCGCCTGCCTTAGCATCCAAAGAGGGATGCAACGAGAAGGACCAGGCCCTCCCAGCTCTTCTGAGGGTTTACCTTAGCTAAGGCTCTGTGTGCTGCAGTGGATCAGGGGCATAGCCCAATGCAAACACATACACAAAAGCAAAATTAAACTTTAATATTTAATGAAATATATACATTATCCTGCTGCCAACGGCAACCGGATTGTGATTTTCTCAAGATAATTTAATTTCGGGTTTATATCCATGAGCCACGCCTCTCCACGGGGTCCTTTGGACTGGTGCCCTCTCACACTCATGCATCAGCCTCTCATTGATATAAAAGTCACAGTGCCGGATGCGCGCAGCCCTGTGCGCGCATCACCTCAAGGCATGAGCGGTAACTCTTTTGGGCATCTAAAAGAAACAAGGCTAAATCAAAAGAAAAACCTGGATCTGGGGCTAAATGAATGAGGAGAATAGGCGCCTGTTTATGTGACCCCAACAAAACAGCACAGGCAAGCAATGCTTTTAATACTCACTGTTAGCCAGTGGCGAGGGCACTGGGTTCTGAATGGGAGATGCGATCCTTCCAGGAGCAACCCCCAAACCTAACTATACATGCGGATCACCCAGGTGGCTTGTTAGACAATCGGCCTTGTGCTGAGGGTCACTGCTAAGGGCTGAGCCAAGGGCCCTGTGATTTTTGTTCTGTTTTGGTTTGGTTTTGATGTCTTGAGGCAGGAGACTCTCTCTGGATCCCGTGCTGACCTCGGTCTTCAGGCCTTCCTGTATCAGCCTCTTGGGTGTTAAGACTACAGGCGTGAGGTCACCACAACTCACAGGCTCTGCGATTGAAATTTTGCAGATGGCCTCAGCCACACACAAGTCTGGTAAAGGGATGGAAAGTACCCCGGCCCCACTAGCTCATAATCCAGACTATAGGCTAGCTTCCCTGAGAGGGTGCCAAACCGTTAGCGCTAAGACAGGCCGCCCAGCTTCCCTCACCAGTTTCTGCATCACTCAGGATGTCCCCTTTCTTACCCCCCTCCTCTCACCCTTTAACTATCTGTCCCTCACATACGACATTCTCTGGCAGCCTCCCCCACCCTGCCTTTTCTTCTTATGAACTGGTTCATCTGGAAAGGAAATGCAAATGTCCCAGGAGAGCAGGGGCAGACTGACTTTCTAGAAGTGGGGGTGGGGGCAGCTCAGTGGAGTTCTTGCCTAGAATAGGCTAGGTCCTGAGTTCCATCCTCAGCACTGGGTATCAGGAGAAAGGAGAAGAAGGAAGACAGAGGCGCTTTAATGAGAAATACTTCACCCACCCACTGCCTTACCTTAACCCCTTGTATCCCTAAAAGTTCTTGACACTCCCTGAGCCCTCAAAGGTGGATATTTGAGATAGAGATTTCCTTAATATTCCTCTAGATCAGCTTTGAATAAATTTGCTTCCGAAAAAGGAAGGAAAAGGAGGAGGAGGAGGATAATGATGATGGTAACTAATAATAATAATAATAACAATAATAATGCCCAGCCTTCCTTCCAAACTGTTACGGAGGACTGAGATTCAGAAAATGGAAGTCTTTCCTGTGCCTCAAGAGCAGGGGAGGCTGGGTACCCCAGAGGTTAACCCTCACTGCCTTGAGGAGTGAGCTGGATTCTCACCCCAAGAGAAAACTTCCTCCTAGCCATCAAGCCTTCCGAGAGAAAGAGAATCTTAACTACGTTGTGTGTGGAAGCTGGAGGCTACCTTTTGAAGACAGACACCAGAGAACATAAAGCTATTATTTCCCTCTTCTTTCCACACTCAGAAAGCTTCCTTTCAAGTCCTGGCTCCACTGCCTTCTACCTAGTGAGCCCAGATGAGTGCCTAAAACCCCCTGTGCTCCTTTGACAAGTGGGGACATGATAGAACACACCTAGAAATCCCAGCCCTCAGAAGGCTGAGGCAGAGGATCACAGTGGTTCCCTACCAGCCTGGGCTACGGGACAAGACCTGTGCCATAAAGAGGGCGGGGAAAGCTGGGCAAATAACGAAACTGGTAAAGTACTTACCTTGCAAGCCTGAGGACCCGAGTGCACCCCCCAGCACCCAGGTGAAAACCAGTCCCATCGTTCTAGCGCTAGGAGGTAGACACAGGCGGGTCCTCGGAGCTTGATGGCCAGCTAGCCCGGCCTGCTGTGGTCGTTTGAATGGGAAATGCCCCCCCCCCCGTTGGCTTCGACACAGTTGGTGGTGCTGTTTGGAGTGGTGTAGGAGGTTGAGTCTTGCTGGAGGAAGTGTGCACTAGATGACTTTAAGAGCGTGCAGCCTTGACCTACTTCCAGCTCTTTCTCTCTCACTCTCTCCCCTCTCTCTGTGTCATGCTTGAGGTTAAAGATGTAATCTCTTGGCTTTCTGTTCCTGTGGCCATGCTGCCATGTTTGCCCCCTGATGCCATGTCCCCCTGCCATGCTGAACTCTTACCCGGCTGGAACCATGAGCCTGAATAAGCTCTTCCGGTCCGAAGTTGCTTTTGATCATGGTGTTTTATCAAAGCAACAGAAAAGTAGCAAAAAGAAAGAAAGGTGAGGTATCCTATCTCCAAAATCAAGGTAGGGTGGTACCTAAGGAATAACAACCAAAGTTGCCATCTGACCTCCGCCGGTGCATGCGTGTGCACGCACACACAGACACAGACACAGACACACACACACACACACACACACACACACACAGACGCACTGATTCTGGTTTCTGCCCCTGGCCACATGACCCTGCTTCTTCCTTCCTCTCAACCTGCTTCCTGTGGTATAACTGTTAAGAATTAGAAAAATCAAAACTGCAACCCCAGCTCCACTATTCTCTAGCAGTATGGCCATCGATGAATAATTTGGCCTCCCTGACCCTCGGTTTCCTACTCTACCCAGAGCGGGTGACAACCAGCCTTCTCACGGAGCTGTTGGGAGACCATGGTGAGATCATGGCAGTCAAGGTCTCGCTGAAGCAGCTCAGGAGCTGGTATCTGCTGCCATTCACAGTGCGACATGAAGGATCCCAGCTTCAGCCAGGAAAAGTTATCCCCCCCAGAAACAAGTACCAAGGCAGTGGCATTCCTTCCTTTCCCTTCTTTTCTGGACATGGCAAAGCTTAAAAAAAAATTGTCCACAAAGTATTTGGGGGGGGCCTTTTTAAATTGATTTTTATTGAGCTCTACATTTTTCTCTGCCTCTCCCCTCCCCTTCAACCCTCTCCCAAGGTCCCCATGCCCCCAATTTACTCAGAAGATCTTGCCTTTTTCTACTTCCTGTCCACAAAGTATTTAACAAAGGCTTGTGGACTGTCCATCAGGCTCCCTCCAGACCCCTCACCTGCTAATTCCCATCATTGCCCCTTCATTCTCAGTTCACAAGTTCAAGGCAAAGAACTTGCTGTTCCTTGCGATTCCTGAGATGGCCTCCAAATGTTGTAGCCATAAATATATCTCAGACACAAATTAGAAGGCACCGATGGGGCCTGGGGAAGGGCTTTCAGCCATATGGCAGGATGATGAATCACCCTTTGTTAATGAATGTGCAGCTTGGCTCGGCTTCCTGTGAGGTGTACCTGCCCCTTACCTGGAAGCTGGGGAGTCTAGTCTGGCAGAGATGCTAAATGCCAGCTGGAGAGCCCAGGCACTTAGGGGCGGGGTGGATAACAAGCAGGGGGCTCCTTGGCACCGTGGGGAGGTCTACCCTTGAAGCCAGTCTCTCTGCAGCCTGTCAGTGGGACTCTCTCTTGATTGGCAGGTCCCCCTGTGAACGTGAGCTGCAACATCTTCATCAACAGCTTCGGCTCCATTGCTGAGACAACCATGGTGAGTACATTATGGCATCCGCTGTCTCTGCGGTAGGTGTCTCTGTCCTGGGGAGGCTGCTCCTCCACGCTGAGTTTCCCCCAAGAAAGCACAGAATTGGGTGTTTTTGTTGAGTCTCCTGTAGGTTTGAATTGTCGTGTGTTTTTTTTTTTTTCTGTCCAATTCAATGCTTTGGGTTAAGGTTTAACATCTTAAGAGGTCTAAGCGACTAACAAAGTTAGCACAGGACAAACCTTCCTAAATATAAGAGCAAAATCATAGAGTGTAATAGGGGAGAATTATGATTAAAGTCCATCGTATCTGTGAGTAAGACAATGTCACAATGGAGGCTGTGTATAGTGGAGCATGTCTACAGTCCCAGGCTCACGGGGCAAAGGCTGGAGGATCTCTATGAATTTGAGTCTATAGTGTGAGTTCCAGGCTACCCACACCCTGTCTCAAAATAACAGCAACAAAAATTACACAAAGTATTTTTAAAAAATTAAGCAACAAGGGCTGGAGAGATGGCTCAGTGGTTAAGAGCATTGCCTGCTCTTCCAAAGGTCCTGAGTTCAATTCCCGGCAACACACATGGTGGCTCACAACCATCTGTAGTGGGGTCTGGTGCCCTCTTCTGGCCTGTAGACATACACACAGACAGAATATTGTATACATAATAAATAAACAAATATTTTTTAAAAAGTTAAGCAACAAGGCTGAGGAGGTGGATCGGTCAGTGAAGAAGACCAGAGTTTAATCCCCCCAGAATCCACTTTTTAAAAAAGACAGTGTGGCGGCGTGAACTTCTAACCCCAGCACTGGCAAGGGTGAGAGTGGATACAGGAAGGTCCCTGGGACTGACGGCAAACCAGACTAGCCTAGGGGGAGCCCCAGGTTCCTGCGAAAGACTGTCTCAAGAATAAAATGGATGGCATCTAAGGAACAACACCAGGGTTAACTCTGGCCTCCACACACACACACACACACACACACACACACACACACACACAAGAACATGCACACACATACACACAAACACATGTATTCATGCACACATGTACACACATCAAACAACAGGGTAAGTGTCTAGATTAAAAAACATATGCTTGGCTGTGGAAGTGCACACCCATAATGACAGCAGGCAGTGATCCTCAAGGAGCTGAGGCAGGGGGATAATGACTTAAAGGCCAGTCTGGGCTACATAAGAAGACCCAATCTCAAAAATAAATCGGTAAAAGCGAAAACCTGCTGATGACTTTCAAACCTACCCAGAGAATGGAGGAACACGCTGGTTGTAGATGCTGAAAGGGTGCGCTGGGCCAGCTGGATTATTTGTTCTTTTGAATATGCTTCTAAGATTCTATAGTAAAAAGTTTTAAATAAAGCAATTGCTGGGGGAGGGGGGGCACAAGGCAAAGGTTGGTGAATGTTAATAGTGGTCATCTCTGACTCATAGACTTACGGGTAATTTTATTTTATTTATTCCATAAGCACGGCTCCATCTTTCACATCTCTGTGAAAAGTAGATATGACATTAAGAATTCCAAACGGATGAAACAACAGTTTGAAAGTTTCTCTAAATCACTCAGAACAACACATAAACCACTTGTGCTCATAGGGAGGGGGTGATCTACCTTGTAAGAAAAAAAAAGCAGCCTGGAGTCAACTTGTGAGCAGAGTAAGATTCAGCTCCCCCAACATTCAGACCACACTGCTACCTCGTGTCCCCAAAACACTGCCACCTCGTGTCCCCAACACACCGCCACCTCACGTCCCCAACACACCACCATCCACCTCTGCATCTTCTCTGCCAAAGTTTCTTCAATTTTTTTTCTACATAGAACCCCTTTGTGTCCAATAAATTTTTCATGATAAGCATAGAAAATAAACACACAAATTAAATATTTACTATTAATCATGCAGAATCATCTTAAGATAATTATTTAATATGTATGCAATTTTGTCATTTATTAAAGACAAAAAAATATTGCTGGGCAGTGGTGGCGCACACCTTTAATCCCAGCACTCGGGAGGCAGAGGCAGGCGGATCTCTGGGAGTTTGAGACCAACCTGGTCTACAAGAGCTAGTTCCAGGACAGGAACCAAAACCACAGAGAAACCCTGTCTCGAAAAAAAAAAAAAAAAAAAGACCAAAAAAAATGTTTATACTGAAGCAAAAAAATATGTTTAGCTTGCTTTTACATAAGTAAATTAAAATTTTGTGTATGTGCCTATGCCTCTTTATGTGGGTGTGCGTGTGTGTGTGTGTGTGTGTGTGTGTGTGTGTGTGTGTGTAAGATGTAGTGCATGTGAATGTGGGGGGGCGGGCATGGTCATGAGTATGCAACTGCAGAGACCAGAAGAGAACACTGGGTACCTTCTTCTATCTCTCTCAACCCTCTCTGCTCTATTGCCTCTCAAGGGTCACTCACTAAACAGGAAGTCTGCCATTTGGGGTAGAGGCTGGCTGGCCAGAAAACTCCTGGAATCTTCATGTCTTTGCCCCTTCAGTGCTAGGGATGCAAACGCTCATATTCTTGCTTAGCTTTAAAGGAAAAAGAACAGAGTCTTACTGTGTATCTCTAACTGGCCTGGGTGTAGTATGTAGTCAAGGATGGCCTTGAACTCACAGAGATCTGCACACTTTTGTCTCTGCATGCTGGGATTAAAGGTGCACACCACCACACCAGCCCTTCATACTCAGCTTTTTATTTAAATGCTGGGCTTTCGAACTTAGGCCCTCGTGCTTGCACAGGAATCGCTCTTTACCAAGTCTCCAAAATTTAATCCTGACCAGACAGTTGATGCAGTAAGACACAAGACACTGTCAGCATTTTCCAGGGTTGGCCAACACTGTAACTGTTCAGAACAGTTCAGAACTGTTCAGAACTGGCCAAAAGCCTCATATACATCACATCGATGCACGGTACAAAAATAGCAGGTGTGTGTTTAAGACATTTTCAGAAATTGTTGGAAATCCTGCCCTAACCCCAAACCAAAACACATTCAGTTTTTTTTTTTAATGAAACTCAAGTCAGCAGTCTAAGCAGCATTTGCAAACTCAAACCTTCCAACAGAGTGCAACACAAAGACACCGATTGGAAATACGCGTGCCCAAAAATAAGAGCAGGAAAGACTGTCTTCGTTTCCTACGATCACACCAGGACTGCCTGTTGCAGCGGTCGGATTAATAATCACCAAAGATAATAGATATTTGAACAAGTTTAATAACAAAACCAGACTCACGAAACCAAGGTTCCAGCGGAGTAGCCGGCGGAGACAGGAGAGGAAGGGAAGGGGCTCGCAGCCTCTGCCCGCCCAATATATCAGTAAACATACGCCCGAGGGCAGCCCGCCCCCAAGGGGAGGGCTTATCCCTACAGCCTGTAGGAGCAGAAAACTTCCTATGTGGGGCTAAAGATACAACTTAATTGGCACAGGGCCTACCTAGCATGTAGAATGCCCTAGATTCACTCCCCTAGTACCACATACACTGGGTGTGCTAGCCCATGTCTCTAATCCCAGAACCCAGAAGATGGAGGCAGGAGGATCGGAAGTTCAAGGTCATCCTTGGCTCCAAAGAAAGTTCAAAGCCAGCCAAGCACCCCAGGGAGGCCCTCATTTGGAGTCTCAGGTCTATACTCTGGTACAGTTCCCAGTCACACGTTTTGCTGCTCCAGTCTGTCTGTTTGTCCCTCCCAGGACTGTACTAGAAGTACATGGCTGGTTGAATTTTTGTCTTGTTTCCCGAAGTGCCCAGCCTCAGCAGCCAGCCCAGCAGTGCAGCTGCAGAAACTCGATCATTCTGTTAAATAAAGAAGTCAGAGCAGATGCCCGGCTCCCCGAGCCCAGCTGCTGCTTGGTCCTCAACATTTACAAACACTGGGCCTGCTCCTCCAAACAGGTCCTTGACTTGCAAACTCGCTGAACTCTTTCTTCATGGGGCAAAGGGACCAAAATCTGTCCTTTGGCAAAGAAACTTGTCTTGACAGGGTCAAGGTGTGTTGTGCATTCAAAAGACGGCTGAGCTGGGTAGAATCTGGCTCAGTCAGTAAAAGTGTTTGCCACACAAACATGAGGATCTGAGCTCAGTCCCCCAAAGCCCAAGTAAAACGCTGGGCATATTAGCATCCACATCTCAGTGCAGAGGAGGTGGGGACAAGCAGGTCCCTGGAGCTCACTGGCAGACAGAGGAGCTTACTCAGTGAGCCCTGGTAGCGGGATACAGGGGGGAAGGGGGGAGCTGTAGATTGCAAATGAGGAACAATACCTGAGGTTAACCTACAACCTCTACATATGCAGATTAGTTGGTTGATTAATTAAACAAATCAGGGGCTGGACCACCTGCTTATGGAAATGAGCAAGCTCTGTAGGAAAGAATCCCATCACATTCACACACAAATAAACATCTAGAAAGAAAGAAAGAAATACAAAAAGTAGGAACCCGACCATACACACCAAGCTCAGGGTCTTCCAACCACAAAGGTTCATTTCTTTCTCATCCAGAGGCTGCTGGGAAGCAGAGGGCTCTCCAGGGCTCCAGTCCTCAGGTACCAGTTCAGCACTCTGTTTCCATATCAACACCTGTAGCCAGGGAGATGGGATGCGTTGCAAGGCTGAGCATGGTTGTATTCCTCAGCAAAACATCACCAAGTAGGCTGCCCAAACACTGGCAATTGACTTTGTCTCAATTCTGGAGACTAGAGTCCAAGGTCAAGGTGCTACCAGGGTTGGTTACCAGAGAGACAGGCGTCCTGGATTGTGGACAGAGCTCTCTTCTACGGCATCCTCTCAGGCCTTCTTCCCTTTGCAGAGGGAGGAGGGGAGGGAGGGAATAAAAGGGAGGGCCCAGTGTCTCTCCTTCTCTTTTAGAAGACTTCATTACATTATTTATTTAGTGAATGTATGAGTGAGTGTGTGTGTGTGTGTGTGTGTGAGAGAGAGAGAGAGAGAGAGACAGAGAGAGACAGAGAGAGACAGAGACAGAGGCAGACAGACAGAACATCCACACCACATTGTGC